GGTTTCACCATTGTGACCACTGTGAACGCCCCGTGAAACCCGCCCCCCCGTCACGTGGCCCATGCCCCATGCCCCCTGCCATATGCCAGATGCCCCTTTGGCACAGCACAGCACAGCTACAGCTACAGTTACAGATACAATGGATGCGGATAAACAAGAGCGAAGAGAAAGCAACACTTGAAACAATAATAATAACACAATCAAGTGCCTGTTCACACACGTTCTCTGTCTGTCTCTGTCTCTGCCTCCCTGTGTGGGTGTGCGTGCGTGTCCGTATCTATGTGGCACTCTGAGTGCACACATATGTATTCCACCTGAATGCATTACGTATACGCCACCTGGCTACCTGCCCCCTCGCACAGCACACTTCTTTTGACACATGCATGTACACTAGTGTGCTCGCATGGCCGTGCCGTGCCGATGACCCAGGAAAGGGCACGCCAGCCATCCATCCACATCTATCCATCCTTTTGTTGGTAATCCTTGAAGCCATCGTCCTGCACGCCCTCCACGTCCTCCCACACATCTTCCACTCGCTCCGTTGCCGTCGCTGAGACGTGAACAACACTCTGCAACAATGGTGCAGTCATCAGGAGCAGCCGCCATCTCCTGCACCGCAGGCGAGTGGGTTTGCCAGGTGAGAGGTGGGGACGGCGGTGTTTGCTGCCCTGTCTGTGTTTGCTTTAGGTAATCATCTTCGAGCGACCAGTGCACATCGCCTACTGTCCGACGTGTGGTCGTGATCTGTTCTCCAAGTCAAGCAGTCAAGCAGTCAAGCAGCCAGCAGCCAGCAGCCAGATGAAAGACAGTCCACAATGCCCTGGGATAAAGGCCAGCCATAAATCTCATTCTCTTTGCCTGCTCCATGCGCGGACGTAGCCGTCGCCCAGCAGCCATCAAATCGCACTTCGGTGCTGGGCGCAAAGGGTACGTCCAGCGATCCACCCCCCCTGTGGCTGGATGATCGAGCCATGCAAAGAGACTTGCATTACCATTCAGTCATTGGGACTATCATGCAGTCATCGAAATTCATTTATATCCTCTTTCCGGTGAGATTTCCTGAACGATTCTGTGGAGGGAGTAGCAATGAACCGATTCAATGAGTCGCCGCAAGCACGGCTTTCTTTTTTTGTTTCCTTCTCTTTTATCTCTTTTTTCATTTTCAGACTTTGCTCTGGTTGATTCCATTCTCCCAATCTCCCATTCCCCATCTCCGTTTCTTTATCAATTAAGCTGTTTGTTTTTAGCTGTACAGTGTACAGTGAAAAGGGATGCGATGGGGTGGGCGGTGGCACCTTCTTAGTCGCAATGATTCCTCTCCATCGTACTTCTGGCTTATTCTGGCGCTGGCAGGATTTTCCTTTGCATTTTGCTAAACGAGATAAAAAAGTACAGCATCAAAGGCAATATCCTTCCATACATATAAATATAGTGTCTGCAATTTAGTTGGCATCCAAGTGGCAGCTCACCTCCGCCCGCGCCTGCTCCTCCGCCTGTGTGTATGGGCAAAGTCAAGTTTGCAAAATGTTGCCAGCCAACACCTTTTAATAGTTTTCCTTTGCAGCTCCAGCCTCTGCCTTTCCCTTTCAATGGCAGCCACTGCTAACACCATTCTGAATCCAGATCCACAAGTCGGGCTCCATGTGTGTCCGGGTCCGGGTCCTTGCCGAGGAGCTAAAAATTAAAAATTTGTATAAAATAAGTTTTGCTCTTTGACTTTTCTACGCCGTTATGCATTTTTGTGCAGGCACTTGCCACTTCTCGTTCGTTCTTTGCCCTTACTTTCGGTGAAACGGAGAAAAAGGAAGTTCTTGCGGCTAAAGGACGTAAGGGCGGCCAGAGACGTGCCACTTGCCATGGGTTTCGTACAATAGCTCCCCCCACTCAGCTGTTTAGCCATTCCTCTTCATGGATTGAGCGAGTTGCTGCTGGTTTTACTGTAACAAAGCTGCGGCCACACTGGAGACAACGTGGCGCCACCGTCGTGGGCGAGTGTCACTTCCAGGGGCAACGCGGTTGCGGCATCCGTATCCTGCCACTGACTGGCCATTCCCATCATCGCACATGTAGCTACTGCCCAAACACAACCTCAAACACATGCCACAACCTGTGGCAACAACAAATCCAGAGCAGCACCTGGACCTGAGCTCAGGCTTCGCCAATGGACAGGTTCACGATGTAAAAGGAAGATACAGATGGAGCTCAAGACTCAAAACCTGCGCTGCTTCTAAAGGTTCTGAAGGTTCCAAAGGTTCTAAAGGTTTGCCATTGCCAAAGACAAAGCCAAAGCCGTCCTGCGGCTGGAAGTTCATTAACGGGCTTTAGATACTTCTAGCATAATCTGGAGGGATGAAGAAGTACCTGGATCCTGGATACCATCGATAGACAAGCCGTGGGCGGTTCCTTTCAGCCAGAGTTGGAGTTAGGCCTCTCAGGGGTCGGTGGGCGTTACTCAGTCAATAAATGTGTTGGCAACCCAAAACAAAATAAATGTCTGCTGTGCAGGAAGCAATTATGGAGCACGCAGCACCACAGTGGTGCGGACCAAAGGGGGTGCTCTAACCATTAACGGTTCTAAAGTATTCCAATTGCACATTCATCGGAGTGAAATGGCAGACGGCATAGTCATAGTTTGTCCAAAAGAAAGAAGGAGGGCCAGAGGGACACCGTCCACGATCTGCCAAGGGGAGTGCACTTACCTGTAGGTTTTCGTACCTGTACAGATCTTTTTCCTACCAAAAGCATTATTATTATGGCCAAAAACCTTTCCATGCAATCGAAAAGACGAGCCAGGCATACTTTGGTGGATCGATTCTGTGCCCGAAGAGACGCTGATGTCGGTGATGTCGCTGATGTCGTTTCAAGAGTGAATGTTTACCATGGACACACCTGTCTATAATGTGCAACGGATTGACGCACTGTAATTGGCAGAGCCAGACTCCTGAGTTTGTCTTGGCGCGGAGCATGCCCCCCGTTTGACGAGGTGGCGCCTCTGTTGGACTGCACAGACTTTCTGCTCGACCCACAGGCAGGGAGTACCAGTACCAGTACGAGTACCAGTACGAGTACGAGTATCTGTGTGCTGTTTACACTGCCGGTGCGGCGCCTGGTGATGAGGCCTCGGGTGCAAAAGTGTGTGTGTATATCTGTGTTCTGGGCCATGTTCTGGGCTAGTAATGGGGTTTTCTTTTTTGCATGTTTAGTCACAACACAAAATTCTGAGCTGTAACGTTGCGCGCTTTGTGTGGTTCCATGGAAAACAACGACGGGAGGCGTGCAATGTGTAAATGGGTTGATGGTGGGGTGGGGTGGGCTATGATTCCTGTGCTTCTCAGTGCATCTCGCATTTTGACATGTAATTAAACGTTTTGCGGTTGACAACGTGTATGGCGAAGAGAGCTTGTGGTTGACTCTGGATATGGATATGTCATTGGATATGGTTACCATACAATCGGGCTCTACTACTCCCCCACCTACGCAGTCGATACATAATCAAACATCAAACATCATGTACTCGGTGTCTCTCTTGGCCCATAACTGTTGTGGCCAGAACAATAAACGGATTTATGACGAAGGAAATGCTGATTTAGAAACCGACAAAACGACTAATTTCGATTTGAAATCAAATCAAATTCTATTCTGTTCGAAAGTGCAATAAGTTCAACCACTAGCCATAGACTATACATACATATATGTGTGTACATATATACATATGTACATATGTACATGGCCGATGGATCCGATTCACATCATTTGAAGGGCTCTGTGCTAGTGTGGGAGGACGGGACGTATTATTATCTCTTTGGGGTCATTTCTGAAGTGAAATTGTTAAGCGGCAATTAATTGAAGGCGTCGTCTGATGGAACAGCTGCGGCAGGGGGCAAAGTTTCTGCGGCAAAGAGCGGACGAGGCGAGGCTGTGGTCGTGGAAAGTTTTGGGGGAAATGAGGAAAATAACATTTCATTGCGTACTTTTAGGGCAGAGCAGCTCGAGTTAACTAAATATTTTTTTGGCTGCTTGTGGCATTTCGTACTTGCACTTGAGCATGCATATGAAAATGCTACCGCCTGCCGACTCGCCTCGCCTCGCCTCGCCACACAGCTAGGCTTTAATGCCCCACTTTGCATGCCCCTGGAGCCACCCTGGTGGGTGCCCATTCATTCATTTTGCCATTTCCCCATTTCCATATTTCACCCGCTCACTTTTCTCTCTCCTCATCCGAATTATTAAAATGGAGCATGCAAAATAATTGCGTACAACCCCCAGCCCCCCACCCCAGCAGCACCCCAGCAGCACCACATCAGCAACCAGCAAACAGCAGTCCCGTTGTCCCACACTTTATGCAACATTTTGCCAGGCATATAATATTTTGCTCTTAATTCGTAAGCAAAGTTTCCTCACAGGCAATGTGCGGGCACTTTAAAACTGCAGTTGATGCGGACAAATTTTTGCATTGCATTTGGGCCCGGCCACACGGGTGCGGCTGGAATCCGTATTCAAGTGCTACAGAATGCTACAGGAGGGAGGGTGGCAGCCACAGCAGCAGCAAAAGAGAAATGCCTATTTGATTATCTTTCGGGTCGGGCTTTGGGCCAACAAAGCCATACAAATGGATGCCACAAATATGCATTTTGCATTTTGCAGACTGTTCGTTTTCCATAGGGAAAAACCCAAGAGAAATGTGCTGTCCAAGGATATCCTCCGCTACCCCACCCAAGTCTGACTTCAGTTGAACCCCAAACTGCAGTTCCATTCGATTAGGCTCTGCTTAGTTTACTGTAGCAGCAAAAGCACTTCGGAGCGGAGCCGGTCCTGTGAAGTGCCGCTATATGCCAATGGCGGGCATATGGCGAGACTTTCAAACATCAGCCTTGAATCTTCCATAAAGCTGCAACTATGCCACATCGAATATTGCCTGATTGGCAGGCATCGCAGGGCTCTCCGGCACAGTCAGCAGCGGCATGCGTATATTGTATACAGATAGGTGGCAGATAGTTGCACAGATTTGTAAGTCAAAAGTAATTAAACAAAAGTAATTTGGGGTTTTCGGCTGGCAAGCATTCCAGACCCGAGAGCAGAGCAGTCATCCCATTTTCTTCCTTGCATTCGGCGGCCTTCCTTGGAGCAATATGGATGGTGGTTCTGAGGAGGAACTTGGTTTCGGGGGTCAGCTGGAGGCAATGGAATCAATGGAGAGAATGGAACCAGGGACCCTCCTCGATGCACTGGACGCCTTGGTGGCATCTGGTGTGAATATGCAGAGCTTGGGAGACGAGTCCTCCTCCCCGAACGCCAGCGATTGGGGGGAATTGCAATGGGACCACGAGACCGACACTCCGTGGCACCTTCGTGGCGAGGAGTCGACCGTCAGCTTCCAGGCCGTTCTGGCTGCCCAACCACAAAGCGATTGTGAGCAGAAGGCCATGGACGAGCTACTGAGCGCTCGTCTCATGCGCGATACGCTGCCGGAGGACACACCGCTGCCCACATACCTTGCCTTCCGCGAGCCCCGTTGCCCCAGCCCCGAAAGCCGCTGGGATGCCCCATGCCACCAGCAGCGCCGCTCGCTACGGTGACGATCTCTGAATTTACATTTTGGAAATTTACAATGTAGCTCTTACAATAAATACGAACAGGATAATATTCAATCTGCTTCTGTGCCGTAGAAATCACATTTCCAATGTGTACACATAGGTATGTACACACATACATACATATGTACAGGCCTCTGAACATCATCGACATTCGTGGCACCTGCCGACTTCGCTGCAATAGACAAATGTAGATGGTGGTCCCTGAACTCCCCCCGTAGGCGTAGCGGTGGAGATTTTGGCAGTGATGACCCACTTGTCCCTGGCCCCTTGTCCCTGTCCATGGCTCTGTCCATGGCCGTGGCCCTGGCCCTACTTTAGTGCATTTAAATGCTCGCTCATCCAAATCAAAAGTCAGAGTGTCTGGCCGGACTCCGGAGCCAGTAAACGTGGCCCAGCACAACAGGCAACAGAATCCGGACGGATCAACGCGGCAGTGCGTTCAGTGTTGGGGTTGGGGGATGGGGGTATGGGTGTTGGGCCTGGAATAGCCATTAAGCTCACTTTACGCCCCGGAGTCCAGGAGTCAAAGGGAAAGTACCGGGGGGGGGGGGGGCGATTGGATTGGAGCCGGCTGCTATTTATTTTCATTTTCGTGCATTTATGGCTTCATCTGTGGGCCATGGGCTGTGGCACTACGGCTGTTGTATCCTCTGCTGTAGTAGTAGCCTCCCCCCCATCCATTTATAGGCGCCCAGCACTCGACTGACTCATGCTCTCTGACACTTTGTCGTTTTTATCGTTGCAGCGTTAATTCGGTTAAGCACTTAAGGCGAGGTCCTGTCAGTACCGTCCCATCCCGGCCCGTCCGGAGGAACACATGGACTGGTGGGGAGCCGTCCAGCCGGACGCTGGAGCAATGCGTTGACGGCGGACCACAGTCACTGGAGCAGGAGCAGGGGCAGGGGCAGGAGCAGAAGCACTGGAACAGAAGCTGCTTTAGTTCCTGCGAGGAAAACAACGGGGATAAATTGCTTGGCAAAAGTTACGTTCATAGTTTCAATTGAAGGTGAATCGGAGAGGATCCAGAGCCCCAGGCAGGGCTCTGTCCACCATGTCCAGCAGTCATTCCGGCACAATTGGCCGTAAACGCGCTGGCAGCGGCGGCGCCAGTGCAAGTGCCGCCAGCAGCGAATATTTATACGGCGGCGGCGACCAGATGCGGCGCCAACGATCGGCGGAGTGGCACAGCCATCGCCACGGCTACGGCAGCAGCAGTGAGGACGAGTACCAGAATACGGCCCAGCCCACTTCGTTCGACACACAGCTGCTGGCCCAGTTGCTCCTCCAAAGCCAGCAGTTGGCAAGTAAGTACCACCCCCAGCACCCCCAGCATCCCCACTCCATCCACACCATTTACTCTCACTTATTTTATATGCATTTACTATACTTAAGAATTTTCATTCCACTCCATACTCGTATGTAGGAATTCAAAAAGGTCTCGGGGTCCGCTTGCAATTCGTTGCCAATTTCTATGGCGCACAGTTTCTCCTTCGTTTTCCTCTTGAAGTCCAAAAATTTAAAACATATCTTGAATTTCTAGACAATCAGCAGCCTCTTAACTGTAACTATTTGCAACTGATTTTGCCCTGTCCATTTAATTCCAGTACGTACGAGTGTGTACATATGTACTTGCATGTAGGTATGCTGAAATTCTGCACATAAAGTACACACTCAAGCGCGCATGCAAAACAATATTTTGTTAATATTTTCACTCACCAGTAGCTTGTGTGGTTATTTGTGAATAAAAATCGTATATGGAAATATTATGGATTTGAGTCGGGGTGCGCCTCCTCCATCTTCGCCGGACAGCCTTAGGCCAGGCAAGCCACCTCCCCCAGCTCGTCAGTAGAGTCTCAATTGCGCCCTGCTCTTCTCCGTCCATTACAGGTCGAATGTTCATCGGTATGGCCTCCGAGTGGCACTCCTCTTGGTTTTTTTCGATCTCCTCTATCTCACAGGAGCATTCCGCAGAGAAATCTTCGTCCTCTGCGGCCATCCGGGCTGTCCGGGCTGTCCGGGCTTCGTAGCCGCGATCTCGAGATTGCAACAACACATCATGAGTCTTTACAATCAAAGCAACAACAAGCGACCAAAGACAATATAAGAATATAACTTTTTTACTTTCCAATCAGTCCTACGGAAAAAGATTTTCGAAGAAGAAGAAGAAGAGAAGTTTCGTCTCGAAAACCGTTTGCTGTGCACAAGTACGCACACATATGCACTCACACATGCAAGCGCATTCTATTTTTAGAGTGCGAGCGAGATAGCGAGAATTTCCTCGCTTGCAGAAAAATTGCCTGCATTTGGCAATTAAAATGTGCGGGCGTTACGCATCTTATTGTTGTGTTGTCTTTGATTTGGGCTATATAATTAAAAACATATATTTTCGTAGTAGAAGTACAAGTTGGTGTTCCTCTTATTATTGCAGGCATGGAACACTACAATTCGGACTGCGAGCCGGAGTATCTGCGGCAGCGAGACCGTCGATTGGGACAGGGCGGCCCCGGGGCGGCAGCAGCAGGTCAGGAAGTGAACTACGCGCAACCGCACCAGCGCACGGCGGGCAGCGTGGCCACCGTGTCAACCAGCAAATATCAATCCAATGCCAATCTGGGCCTCTTTCCCAGCAGCAGCGCCACTGCCACTGCCACAGATACAGGTGAAGCTGCAGCTGCAGCCGTTGCCACACCGCGCAGTACAAATCCCTTCCTGAGCGCCAAATTCACGGCAGACGAGGAGGCCACGGGCACGTTCTTGTTGCCCGCCTCGGCCTCTTCTTCGACGGCTGCCTCGAGCCACAGTCGGAGCCACCGGAGCAGCGGAGCGGCACGCAGCACCCTGAACCGCCTGAGTGGCATGACCAGCTCCAGCAGCGGCACCTCGGCCCTGTCCGTCAATCGCAGCGATTCACTGCGACAGCGGCATCCCAGCCACAGCCATAGCCAAGCGCAGCATCTGCATCCGAGCCAGCAGGGGGCCAGGCAGCACTCTCTAGTGCAGCCGGAGGTGCGGAGCACGAGCGGTGCCAGTGGTGACGGCGACGAAAATGGCGAGGGAGACTTTGACGATTTTGCCGGTAGCAGCGGGGAGTCAGAGCCGCCGCCGGAGCCAGCGCCGCCAGAGATACCACCGCGCACGCAATCGCTGCTGATGTCCTTGCGCAAGCACTCGGACTACAAGCTCAAATACGAGGAAAAAGGGGACCAAAAACACGAGGAATTTATCCCAACCAGCATGCTACAGAAGGGTAAGTACCGTGCCACAAGCAATACTGGGGAATTACTCACTCCCTCACACTCACGAAGCTTTTTGTGCCAAGCTTTTTTCGAGAAATTCCCAGCTTTTGTCGGCATTTGTCGAAAGCTTTGCGTTGGCTCGAAAAAGTCTTAACAGACAGCTGTTGGGCCAAAACTGGCTGTTGGCTGTTAAGCATGGAAATGCTTTGTGGAAAGCTTTGCGGAAAATCGTTACGGATGTGCCTCATAAATGATGTCCAACTTCTTTTCTTGCTTGCAGATTATATCATCAGCGATAACTTACGCTCAACGGATCAGCAGCTGAAACCTCAGTCGCCGGTCGACACGCAGGGGTAAGTGATACATTGACCTGTAACTGTAACATATACATACGCATACACATATGTGTGTACATTGTGCATGTCTCACATGTCTCTCCCACACACCCAAACTGATAATCCTCCAACTCTGGCCTTGCGTTGCACGTTGGATTGCAGTCCGCTGCAGTCCGCTGCAGTCCTCCTGCAACTGGAGACAGTTCATCGGTATTGGGAGTTGGAGACAAAGCTAGGAGAAGCCGGAGCCCCCCCCACTATGTCAAAGCTTGTCCTCTAATCTGCGTGCGGTCTCTGGGCTTGCATCGTTTGAGCCTCCCGTTACATCAGCGACAGCCTGGATCTGGAAGCTGGAGGTGGTGGTGGTGGTGGTGGCGGTGGCCGTGTAGTAGGGAGAGTCCCATGTTAGCGGCAATTAAATCCGCAAAATGGTTCACATCGTCCGTCGTTGTCTGGACTGCTGTTTGTTTGTTTGTTTGTCTCTGGCAGGAGTCTGTTTGCTTCTCGTATCTCATGTGCGAGTGCATCAGCATTGTAATCCTTGCCATGCGGAGCAGCAGCGAGCGGAGCACAAGGAGGTGGAAAGCCACAGTCCCAAACTTTAAAATGGCTGCCATTGGAGTCGCTCCTTTTTGTGTCCTCCACCTCCCCTCCTGCATGTGGCGCCTCTTATGTTGCTGGCCAAAGATTTCCGTAGCATTTTGCGGTTGTATAAGCGGCTTTTGCTTCGTATTTTGTTTGCTCCTCCACCCAGGGCAAGGGCCCACACCCATACACTGGGCTCTGCTGCTCGTTCTGTTTGTCCTGGCGTCCTGGCCACGACATCTACGCCTGCAATGGTGCTGTCCTTTGGGGCTAGGACCGCCTCCACTTCGCCAATTACTAGCCAGGCAGACGGATCCTGCTGCCGGCTGCCTGCTGCCTGCCACCTGCCACCTGATGCTCCTCTGCTGGCTGTGCCTCTTGCAGCATAATTAAAGAACTCACTTGGAGATTACGTGGTTTTATAGGTTTAACCGTTACCATTGGATTGTCTCTCCCTCTCCGGACAGGTGCTGTGACTTCTCCCCCCTCCGTCGGGAGGCGGTCTGTGGGGGGGTCTCCGCTCAGCCGGATGTGCGCAGGATGCAGCACACTGGGGGCGGCCTCGGTCTCTGGGTCTAGCCGCACCACATACGCTAATGTTTCAACTAATGATTGCCGCGGCGCACTCACATAAGCAGCGGATACATAATGATGAATGAAAAAATCATGAACATCATCACGAAACATTCCCTGAATCCGGATACAGTCATCGGGGAACACTCAAGAGTGTTATTCTATTTGGTTGATCAGCAAACCAATGTGTTTGGTTGCAATTTTTACCTACCATAGAAAAGCCTAAGAACTTCAGTGTCGATACAATATTTTAAGGATATCGTCAATGATATCCTTTGGGATGGAGTAAGATCTGTACAATAAAATGCTTAATGCTTTATATTTTTATATCAAGTGCATCTTACTCATGAAAAACGAAAGTAAATGCTTCATTCAGTTTGTCTACACTTATGGTGATTTTTCATATTATTTTATTTAACTTACGCATGATTAACCACTCCTTGAATGCATTCTTAATGTATATATTTTGGGCTATACTCTCAAAAAATGTAAGCCATAATCCATGTAGATGAGAGTGCGTGAGACAGGACAGTTTAAGGTGTCTGGCAGCCAGGCATCCCCCCAATCTATCCATCGCAAAGGATGAGTAAGGACCATTATATGAAGCAGAGCAAAGCAGAGAAACAATATGTCGTTGACAGTCGTCATGCGCAGCTACTTAGATGGACATAAAATTATGATTACAGCAAATACCACATGTTTCACACTCCACACTCCGCACACAGACACCGAGCACCGGACACACACATTCTAGTGTGGCCTGTCCGCTCCTTGTCCCCAGAAGGAATCCGCACCCGGAATCCGGGGGCAATTCATTACAATAAGCTCACGAATGTGCCATAAAAACCGCATCCTAGCACTGTATTCGAAGCATGAAATTGCCAATTCCAATCCGGTTTTAGTTGTAAAAACTTTCATGATCCCAACATTAATAGAATATGCCACGTCTCCCATCCCTCGCCTGTGGCAGCGGCACGTCATTTCAACCATACGTAATACGTATATGAACGAACTTCCATCTGTTCGCTTTGTCAGACTTAAATCGAGGGGTCTGTGGGGCTGCCAAAGTGCTTAAGGATCGTCTCATTAAACACAAAAACGCATACATCTTATAGAAGTCAAAGAAGAAACAATCGAACGAACCTCTTCATAGGCAAACACTTAAATGCAATTAAACTGTGGCATGCTTCATGTGCCACGTACAATAGGTCATGTTGTTCACTCTCTGCATAATTTCCCTTTCACGTTTATTATTTCTTATGTTTGTTATTATCCAAGTCTATTTGATTCCGTCCAGTCCCAGTGATATTCTATTTACATATTTATTCAATTACCAAATAACCCTTTGGATTTACCATTTAATTGATTTTCATTGGGTTTTAGTTTGAGTTCGATTTTGCTTATATGAAAACTCTTTTCGTTTCTATTGTTTGTCATGTTTTAGTTTTACTTTCTCCCATTTTAATGTTTGCCTATCTTTTCGTTATGGTTTCGATTTGCGTTGGCGGCTCGTTAGCCAAGGGGATCGTATTGTAAACTAAGTGGAAGTCGAAGGTGAACTGCGAACTGTGAACTGCGAACGAGAGGCAGAAGAACACGATGATGATCGCTGACAGTCCAAGATGTATGATGGAAATTAATAAAACAAGCGTAAACACTTAAAAGGCGCTCCGATCCGAGTTTGGTACTGACTCAATCGATGCCCTCCATCCCCTCCCCTACCACAACCCTGTCCAACGCCCTCGCACTCACACTCGCACACTAGGCTCGCTCGATGGCTCGATGGCTCTACAATGGATTGAGTGAGTGAGTGGCTCCGTTGCTGCGCTCCTTCGTTTGTTTGTGAGGAAACATAAAACACAGGGAAAACAAAACTAATTGAAAACAATCATTAAACAGCGCCACAGATACAATGCGACCCGGGGAGACGACAGGCGAACGTTTATGTGTATCACTTAATTATAACTGTACACACACGTCACGTCGCTCTCCATAGAGATACATATATGTACAGATACATACTTGTGAATGCTTGTACCCGTCGACTCCCTGGGACAGGCACTCCATTAAAGGAGCCAGTCCCACTGCAATCGAACACACAGCAAACAGCAAACAGCAAAACAAATGGCTCAGATCGGTCGGAGTTGACCCACAGCTCACATACAGACCCAGACCCAGACTGCAGAGAGACGCCCAACTGAGTGGGGCCACTCGAGAGACCTGTAAATCGAGACGTTCCGAGACCTTCAACAGCGTGCTGTTTATTTCTTTATTCATTATGGTTTTGTGGCCTCTCGCCCAGGTACGCGTATGTATAAACATTCGCTTTGGAAATGCTGATTTGTGTGTTGGTTCTTGGGGGTTGTGCCCTTCTCTGGCATCATCGCAGTGTCCGGTCTCATCATTTCGCCCAATTATATTCAATTGTTTAATTGCAAGTTGATTTGTCTTAATTGCATTTACTTCAACTCAAAGATGCAAGGATGCCAAGATGCAAGTTCAGACAGAGATAAGTATGTACATACATATATGTACATATGTATGTACATGTGTAGGTATGTCCGAGGCTTGTAAGCTGATTTTGCACCTGAAATAATATGATATGGGGGGAAAAAAAGAGGGAGTGCATGAATGAGACGGAACCAGCGAATGGTGGACTCGAAGGGAGAGAGTAGAGTTTGAGTGGTGGTGCCATGCCATCAGTCATATGCAAATTCATAAATTCCCCCTGCCCGTCTGCCGCTTTCGGACACCATCTCATAGCCCTCTTTCCCATCCATACCATATGATTCTCTTGTTATTTCTTCCTCCCACTCTGCTGCTGCTGACGCTTTCTTTGCGCCTGCGCAGCCGTTGATAAATGTCCAGCGACAACGCCAGTGCCAGGGCCAGCACCGCCGCCACCCGCTGTCACGTTGATAACCTTATTATTTGTGGGCTGCCACGCTTCCGTGATCCCCCTGCCACCCGCTGTGTCATCATCCTCTCCCACCGGGCTTATTTTCGTAATATCTGTATGGCATCGAACAATCCCAGATGCTAATTTTTGTATGTTCGAGCTTGCATACCCTGGAAAGATTTCCAGTCTCTCATTAAAATTGTTTCCGAAAGAACAAACCTTAGATGATTTTGCAACCCGTCCATAAAACTGTATAAGAGTTGGTGCCATAAATGGCCATAAATACCATAACTATTATACCAGATTTCTGATGTACACACATCTTCCACAGACTCTCTTTGGAAAGAGAATAATTTTCGTGCGAAGGGTGCGAAATGGAGTGAAAGGGGCAATGTAAATGGTTACATAAACAAGTTGCGAACCAAAGACTGTCATACGGATAATAGCATTGAAAAAAGAAAATTCAAAAGACTTTCCTTTCGACTGCGTTCTAAGGCCAGGTTAGGTTTATGACAAAGCTATCCGATAGGGACTCTAATATGATATGCGATAGATTTTAAAGCGACGGAATCGCTTGCAAAGATATATGTATTTATATAAATGGAAATACAGCTGTAATACTCGTTCCTTCCTAGGTATAACATGTTAACTGCAAACTGTTATACACAACAGCTGTCCATTGTTTGGCACTTTCAAATGTTTCTTGGGACCTAAAAATGTAGCTGGGGACCTAAAAATGTTGCTCGGCCACATGTGGCAGCAAATCTCATGTTGCCAAGAGTTTTAAAGAGAGTTGAGAGAGAATTACCAACGCTCTCTCTCGCTGTTAGCTACGCTCTTTCGCTGTAAACTCTGCTCTTTCGCTGGTAACTTGGCGACTCGCTCCTGTTAGCCGCCGCCACAGGTTTCTGTTGTTGTTTGCTCATGCCACCTCACCTTGGACTCCAATATGCCATTCACAGCATGTCAAGAGTTGGGGTGTATTTTAGCTTGCGTGCCCTCTGTTTTCCTGGGCGTTTGGCCCGTAGACCATACCTCGTTTTGTCGCAGCAACACGCGTCTGTTGTCAGCAACATTTGAACGCGGCCGGACTTGAAACGAACGGCCTTGCGTCCCAAACGCCCTAAAATGTGTGAACATGAATGAACGTGCCGCGGATGACAAGCGACAAGGAACCAAGAAAACAACAGAAAAATAGATAATAGTGTCGAGTTCGGAAAAGTCCGTTGATATATCCCACGAAAATATGCGTATTGATATATTTGCAAAAGAATATCACCCACAAATAAATTATCAAAAAAATACATATATCAATATTCGATATATCAAGATGTATTCAACATTCGAAACTCGGCGCGAATAACAAATCCTCCGAATACATCCGCATCCAGCCGCAGCAACCTCCGCGTGTACGTGAGTGTCTATCTGTGTGTGTTTTTTGTGTGTTCTCGCGTATTTTTTAGCGTTTTTGTGTTTTGTTTCCCTAAAACCCGAAATCCACCTCCCTTCCCTTCACGACTACCAATGCATTTCCTGTAGTTTTCTTGATTTGCGCAAAGAAGGAACTTTTTAATTTTTTGCTCATTTGTTTTTATTGTGACCAATTTTTTTAAGTGCTGGAAAGTGCTCAAAACAAAGAAGGAAAAAACCACAAAAAGAAAAACCGAAATAAAGGATAAAGAGAGAAAGAGAGAAAGAAGAGAGAAGATAAAAAAAAATTAAGATTCCTTCCAATGACAAAACAGCGACAGAGGCAGAGCAGAAGCCGCTGCAGAATTTCATCAATTAACGGATTACAACACATTTTTGGATAGAAAAACCAACGGAACAAAGCAGCAAACAGCGTCTCAACCACCGTCTGGACATTCACGAAAGCGCAGCCAAAAAAATGTAGGTCATTCCTTAAAGATTTTCCACTTTCCTAGACCTTTTCCGCTGCGAAAAATTCTGAAAAGAAAAACGCAGCGAAAATGGAAAACAGGAACAAACCAAAAGGAAAATATCGCTGGTATATCTGTCAATCAATCCTCATAAGAATAAAACATCCCGAAAAACAAAGGCAATTCTCTTCAAATAAATTATTTGTATTTTTAATATCCAAAAAATGAAGAAATTCTCTTAGTAAATTTAATGCGATTTCCCAATTTTTCGGGAAGGGATCTTTCCCTCAATTTTCATTTGCATATTGCTGCCACATAAGCAAAGTTTAACAAAATTTGATGTTCTAAACTAAAAATACTAAAACCGTAACCATTCGCATACATTTCATTAGTTAAATGTTGAAGGAAAAAGAAAACCTTTTTTGCTTTTTGGAGTTTTAAGGATGAAAAATACAGCGACGCGTTAACATTTCCTTTTGGTTTGTTGTGAAACCAGATTTCTAGATACTTTTATACGCAATCTCTTTTGCTCCTCGTTACGCCTTACATTGCCTGTGACCCATAAAGTGGGTTTTATTTGTATCCCCAGCATAGCCTTTGACCTTCTCGCTGCTGTTTCTATTATTTGCGTTCAAATCATTTCAAATGCCGAATGATGTGCAAATAAATTCCATCCACAGAAACGGAACGGCGCGAAAAACGAAGAGAATAAAAAACCCAATATTGAAACATGCATACAGAAAAAATAATACGGAAGGAATGAAATTTGAGTAAAGAAAACGGTAAACATAAACCAAGCAATAGTGTAGAAGAGGAAAATAGGAAGAAACCAGGTGGAAACCCCCATATAATATTTGCATATTACACCAGTGACCAGATTTAGAATTTTCCTGCTGCATACACAAAATTCCACGAGTATGTTCCAAAGGAAATCAGAACATTAGATAAAGTGCCAAAATAGTCAATAATTTATTTTCATTTGTTTTGTTTGTGGACCGCACCCCGTCGGGATCATCAAAATCCATTGGCGACTCTCCAGTTGTGTTGTTTTTTTTTTCTGCCCATTTGTTTAATGAACAAAAATCAAAATGGCTATTTCTCTGTGTGTGCCTCTGCCCCCGGGGTCATAAGCCTCTGCCACTGGCACTGGCACATGTTGTCCACATCCGCGATCTTCTCTTCTTTAAGCCATAAATCAAGGCCCCTTCGTGTTGCAATTAGGCAAGTAGTTGAGAGAACTCTTCTGTTACTTTGTTTTGTTTCAAATTTAATTATTGAAAATTAACCTCTAGAGATGCCTACTATTTATTGTATGAAACGCACTGTTAATTTCTCTTCCAATATTCTTGACTTTTTGGTAATTTCTTCTGTGATTTCAGTGGCTAAATATGTTTAATGATTGAAAACATTTTAAATTGTTAGTTAGTTGTGTTAGATTTGTTCAATGTTTCATTGGTTATGAGATAAATATTCCTTGGATCAGTTAAGCAAACTCTCAAGTAAAATCCCATCGTTGGGTCTCACTCCAGTTTTTGTTTGCTCCGCAGCTGTTTCGCGTTGTTGCCGCTTTTCACACGGGTTCGCTTGCGTCAAAGATACAGATACTTGCCATAACCTGCCTCTCAGAAATGTGCAGAAATCAAAGCCAACGCAACGCAACGTTGATTAAATCCTCATATTTTTTTCCCATGTATTTCTGCTCTTCCATCATTCGACTGGACCCTGTTGCCGGTTCTCTGTGCAGCACAGCTGTTGCAAAACGACGAAACAGGGGCACATGCGGAGAAAAAGATACAAAATGTATCTGTATCTCGTGCAACGCCAGCAGGTACCTGTAATCGGTTCACAAATGAAATGATGTCCAAAAATTGGCCCAAAAACCATCCGCACATCTGTTCACGCACGTTATTTGTGTGGCAACAAATTAGTCCAACAAAAATGTCAAAAGTTGTACAAGGAAATGGGAAACTGGCAAACTGGGAAAACTACAAATGGAAAATGGTACTCGAGATGGTGTTGGCAGGCAGCGACGGCGTCGACGCTTTGCATGACAGGCGGCCGCCTGATGGGCAGATGAGTGTGTGTATCTGCGAGATACTCTTGCAAATTGTTATAGTTGTAGATACAAAAAACCCAAAATAGCAGGATTTTAGCTACAAGAAAGCAGCGGCAGTGAGAGCGTAGAGCGGAGGGGCCAGCCAAGCCGCCACTTGAGATGATTTATGATGCCAGTCGCTGCCATCTCTGGCCGGCCTCATCTCGGGGCTCGTCTTGGGCTCTAGCTCTTGCTCTGCCCTGGCTCTGGCTCTGGGCCTCGTCTTTGGGTTCAGGCACAAGTGCAGACAGCAAAAATAACAATCTACAAAAGGTTTTGCCATTGATATCAACGACGGAGCGACGACCATGGGCCCATCCTCCGTGGATGATGATGCTGCAGAAAATGCGGGGTAAACGGACGGATCAGCAGACGTAGGGAAAGATTCGGGAGGGACGGACGGATAAGAGGTTTTTGCTGCTCACTGCAAAAGGTGTGAAGCATCAGCACCATACAGCGGCAGCAAAACCTTGAATTGAAAAATTCAAAAAAACCAAAATATGCCTGCAAAAATATCTTTATGTATAAAGGGGGGAGTAGCATTTATGTGTGTAGGTATGTGTATGTATGTGTCTGTTTCTGTGTCTGCATCTGTGGGTAAAACAAAAACAGATACGAAGATGGAGATGGTGCTGTGAGGGAGCAGAAGTGGGTAGATGGGAGATGGGGATGAAGCTAAAAATGGAGCTGGAAGGTGCTGAAGGAGAATGTGGCGGTGAAGGAGATGCTGCTGCTGTGGCTGTAGCAACAATGACACAGCAGTCGAAAATAAGTTCACGACGGGTCTACGGGACAAAATAAACCCTCAGATTCAGACGTAATCATGGGTATTCAGGAATGTTCCTATTCCTTAAAAGCGATTGAGGGAAAAATTGGAAGGAAATGAGAAGAAAATTCGACAAAAAATATAATACAAAAATGCGAAAGTGAATGGGAAATATCTCAGAATGCAGTTAAAAAATTTAGCCCGATCCTAATGATTGTTGGTTTAGACTTGCGTGCATCTATAAATACACAAAACAACATGTTTTCCAATTGTTTTTCACGCCTTTCACGTTGCACGTACAAAAATCAAGAATATTAGCTTCACCGAGCCGTAGAGTTTGCCCAGATCGAACTGCATAGTCAATGGTGGTACCAAAATGCCATTCCCCAACGGTGGGATACCCAGTAGTGAAAAACCATAGTGTATGGCGGGAACAAGGAGTCCGTCGGCAGGCAGAATGGCGTTGGTCATTACCGTCATGCCTTGTCATAGACAACATCGTTTATTTTCCAAGCACTTGGACGATGAACGTTGATTCCCTTCCTACCGATTCTACCTACTTCATTTTTCACACCTACCTTACCCTTACCCTCTGCCGCTTGCCAACTGCCATCTTCACGTTACCTGTGGCCTAAGCCCTGGACGATGGACCCATATACTCGTAGACTCATGGACCCTGTGTGTGAATAAGCACAACTGCTGCTGCTGCTGTTGATGCTGATGCTGTGTTTTTCCCGTGTGTGTTTCTATCTAGAGAAAACACTTGACTGATTTTGCATCAGAGGAAAGAAACAAGAACGAATCGCCTACGAAACGAAATTTATATTTTCAATAATTATTCAAGATTTATTTCGAGGCTTTGAAAAGTTTTCCAGTTCCCAGAAACAATAAATCGCCACAAATCGTTTTCAAATGAATTGGAGCGTGGCGACAATCGATGGGGGGATGGGTCGTAAATCTTGAATCAAAAGACAGAAACATAAAGAGTTTTCCTCATTTGCCATTACTCGTAAGCGATGGAAAACACTTGAGAGGAAGTCCAAACCAAAATTCAAAGGCAATTCACCGGAGCTGCAAAGTGAAATTGAAAATTGAAATTTTATAATTCTGTTGCACGAGAGACCTGTTGAAGATAGCTTAGGAGAGGTGGAAAAATAATACTTGAAAGATGTGGTCTTGCAGGGAAGTGGAAGAAGGAATGGATGGATGCTGCATAAGGAGCATCGGGCTAATTTGCTTTGCCATAAGGGAGAGAGACTCGAGAACAGGAGCGGAGGAAGGGGCAGAGGCATTTTAGCATTTAAGATTCAAGTCGCAGGGCGGCATAAGGCAGTGCACCCCAAGTGCGAGGTGCCACTCCAGGAGTCAAGTGTGTGTGTGCCCCAGGACGTTGCACAGAAAAATTCAGGTAGCATAATTAAATATTTCACGCTGCAAAAACTGGTAAAAAAAACTGGAGCAAAAGATTTAAAGCCAGTGAGACAAGAAAAAGCTTTTTCTGCGTGAAAACTCATTAAATAGCATTGCGCGTTGTGCTGCATTCTGTTTTGTTTTCCATCTGTGGGGATGGGGATGGACGAAAAATTTGTTGCCAAACTTCACGCTAATGGAAGTTCTTAGTTGCAAGGAGCCAATAGCTTTGCTCGAGTTCCTGCTCCTGCTCCTGCACCTCCTCCTCCATTTTGTACAGCTAATTGAATAGAAAAGAAAGCTAAGCTTAATGCAATTATATTTAGTTCCTTATTAGCCTGCCATATACTTTCAAGTTGACAACTGCTCAGTGTTTCGAAGCACTAATATTCCGCTATGCCAAAGAATACAAAACCAGAGGCTGCATGAGCGACCGAAAACCGGTTCTATGGCGGGTCTTATCGCTACATCCCATGTACAGAGGGTAGCGCGCGGGCTCTCTTTTCGGCTTTGCTTCGTATCTGACAGCGAGCCCGCTGCCCGACGGCTTCGTCTGTGCATGCATATGCATGCATTTCACACAGTGGTGCCTGTGCCTAGATCAGCTGGCTAAATTAATAAACGAATAAGAGCTCAATAAATTGTTTCACATATATCTCATATTTTCTGAAAAATTCTCTTTTATAAGCGTATTTTTAGTTCATTGAATGGGAATTTGTTCCTTATGCAGCATCTTGGA